CGTTTGTGTAAGATTGATATTATTTCTTTTTTAAATGTTTGGTAGAATTCACCAGTGAAACCATCAGGGCCTCGAGTGTTCTGGATAGAAAGGGTTTTGATAATGAATTCAATTTCTTTAAAAGATACAGAGCTATTCAGTTTTTCTATTTCTTCTTAAGTCAGTCTAAATCAATTATATTTTTAAAGGAATTTGTCCATTTAATCCACATTATCAAATATATCAACTTGAAGATGTTCATAATATTCCCTTATTCTCACTTTCAATGTTTGTAAGATCTGTAGCCATATCGTCTCTTTCATTCCTGATATTGTAGTTTGTGTTTTCTCATTTTTTTTTCTTGGTTAGTCTTACTAGGGGGTTATAAATTTTATCTTTTCTAATACGACACTTTGGCTTTGAAATCTTCTCTATTGCTTGTATGTCTCACCTTTATTATTTCTTTGCTTAATTGGTACTTTTTCAGCTCCTTCAGAGAGAAACTTAAGTTTTTTACTTTAAATCTCTCTTCTTTCTAATATAAGTATTTAAAGGTATGAATTTCCCTGTAAGCACTTTAACTACATTACACAATTTTTGATATGTTGTGTTTTCATTACCATTCAGTTTGAAATATTTTCTTCTTTGACTCATGGGATATTTAGACATTAATTTACACATGCTTGGGGATTTCCTAGATATCTTTTCGTTACGGATTTCTAATTTAATTCAATGGTAGTCAGAGAATAGACTTGGTATTTATTGAGACTTTTTTTTTTTTGTGAGGAGATCAGCCCTGTGCTAACATCTGCCAATCCTCCTCTTTTTTTGCTGAGGAAGACTGGCCCTGGGCCAACATCCGTGCCCATTTTCCTCCACTCTATATGGGACGCCACCATAGCATGGCCTGCCAAGCGGTGCGTCGGTGGGCACTCGGGATCCGAACCGGCGAACCCCAGGCCGCTGCAGCAGAGCGTGTGCACCCAACTGCTTGCGCCACTGGGCTGGCCCCATATTAAGACTTATTTTATGGCCCAGTTTCTGATCTCTCTTGATGATGTTCCATGCACATTTGAAAAGAACTGTACTCTGCAGTGTTGGGTGCAGTGTTTTATAAATGTTGATTAAGTCAACGTGGTTGATAGTGTTGTTCAGCTCTTGTCTCGATTGCTATTCTGTACAGTCGTTCCAACATTAGTGGAAGAGGAGCGTTAAAATCTCCAACTCTGATTGTGGGTTTGTCTATAGTCCCGTTTAGTTTGTCAGCGTTTGCTTCATGTCTTGTAAATCTCTGTCATTAGGTACAAACACATGAAGGATTACACGTCTTACCAATGAACTGCCCCTTTTATAAACATTACGAAGTGTCTCTCTTTATCTCTAGCAATACTCTTTGACTTGGAGCCTACTCTGTCTAATACTAAGATAGCCAAGCCGGTTTTCCTATGCTTACTGTTTGTGTGGTATGTCTTTTACTCTGTATCTGTGTCTCTAAAGTGTGTCTCTTTTAGACAGCTTATAGCTGAGTCTAGCTTTTTGACTCAGTCTGATCATCTCTGCCTTTTAATTGGAGTATTTTGTCCATTTTCATTATGTAATTATTGATATGGTTGGGTTAAGTCTGCCATTTTGTATTTGTTTTCTTTTTCTCCCTCCTGGGTTTGCTTTATTTTGTTTTTGTTTACTCTGTTGTATTTTTCCTGCCTTCTTTTGGGCTAATCGATATTTTTAAATATTTAATTTAAAATATTTCATTGTATTTCATCTATTAGCTTTGTAGCGCTACGTCTTTAATTATTTTCTAAGCTTTGGGCCAACAATAGGCATCTGTAACTCATCAAAGTCTACCCAGAGTTAATAACGTATCACTTTCTACTGCTATCACACATCTAACACTTCTCACTTCTGATGATCATTCTGACATTTTCTGCCTTGAAACAGACTTCAGGACCTAACCACAATTACACAATGCAAATAGGCCAAATAATCCTATTAAAATATAGAGATGATCAGACTGGATAAAACAGCAAGATCCAACTATAAACTGTGTAAAATCTTGACCCCAGGAGAGGGCTCCCTGACTGGAAACAGTACCAGAGAAAGAGACCGAGGGGCACGTGGGAAAGGGCAGCAAATCTCGGGTGCTGGGCTCATGGCAGGACAAAATCTGAGCCCTGCGAGAGCACATCTGCCTTCTTGCCTCAGGCTCCAGGTGTGCTGGGGCATCTCACTGAGTGTTCTGCCATCTAATTAGGTATTTTCCAAAACTTATTCCTCAGAAAGTGGGCCCAGGTCCTGCCGAGCAAGGTTAAATGGCTACACATTCACTTGCAATTTCTCCAAATGGCGGGGGCTCCTAAGGAAGATCTTGGTCTGATCCACACCCCCAACCAGGGGCACAGAGCAGGCTTCCCTGCTTGGTACCAAGAGCCACACAGGAGGGTGATGCAGAAGAGGTCAGAGTCAGGCTGCACCACCTACAGGCTGTGTGGCCTTAGGTGGACCACTCACGCTCTGAGCTGTGGGGTCCTTATCTGTGACGGGCAGTAGAAAGCCCAGGGCTGCTGTCTATGTGAATGGCGCCCCCGGAGGTGTGCAGCGCACATTCTGCATGGCCACGACGGAGGACTCGACACAGCCCATGCTGCAGAGGTGCCGTGGGCATTTCATGAGGTTGTGTCTGAAAAAGAACCCCCCCAGGCCTGACAAGCGAGACAGAGTAAATCAGTGATGGTACACCAACTCAGTGGAATTCCGCATGGCCATTAAGACTCACGACTGAGATCTCTGTTACGTGAGGCAGAAACTCCGCATACTTATTGTGATGGGAAAATGCAGTCTACAGAATATGAAGGATAATACGATCCAGTTTTCATCAACACAAATATAGCTACATATGCATGGAAAATCCTGGCAGGAGAACCCCGAAGTGTTTTCGGATGTGGAGTGGAGATTTTTTCCTTTGTCAGTATTTCCACATTTTTCTCCAATGAATATGTTTTCAATTTGAAATAAGAAAAAAACCAATAAAATTTATATTTTTACTTGGCTCCTCTCCTTTCTATTTATGACTCCTCTCTGAGCTTCATCCATAAAATGGAAATAATGATTAAGAAGAGTAACAACAGGGGGCTGGCCTGGTGGCATAGCGGTTAAGTTCTCACACTCCATTTTGGCGGCCCAGGGTTCACAGGTTCGGATCCCAGGCGCGGACTGACGCACCGCTTATCAAGCCATGCTGTAGCGGCGTCCCATATACAGTAGAAGAAGATGGGCATGGATGTTAGCCCAGGGCCAATCTTCCTCAGCAAAAAAAAAAAAAGAAGAAGAAGAAGAATAACAACAGTGTACTAGATGTCCCATCTCACTCAACACCCGGGGTGGGAATTAGGACGTCCATTTTACAGAGGAAGGAGCAGATTCTCACAGAGGGCAGAGCTCCCTCAGGGGAGGTACCACTCCCTCCTCACGGGGCTGCCCTGTGGTTTAACATGAGGAAGAGCCTGCATGTTCTGTGAAGCACCAGCTGCTCTGCCCACAGTGGGCAGTAGGACGGAGTGGTCAGAGCGTGGGCTCTGGCGCCAGATGGCCTGGATTAAACCCAGCTCTGTTCCTCCCAGCCTGTGTGACCTTGGGTAAGCGCCCTCACCTCTCTGAGCCTCAGCTTCCTCACCTGTGTAATGGGGGCAGCAAAAGTGCCCCTCAGAGGATCACATGACACAGTTTCTGCCCACAGCAGCTGCTCGAGGATGGAGAGCTTCGGTCACAGTAACATCCTCTGGTCCAGCACTGGACGCCTGATTTTAGCAGAGACTGTCTCTGACACACGGCATCCAGAGGAAGGTGGACCCCGAGTGGCCATGGAGCAGAGCTCGGCAACCGGCTTCCTGCTCTGATGTCCACACCCGCTGCCCTGCCTGGCGAGGTGGGTCAGAGGGTGCTATCGCGTCCGTGCACGCCACACAAAAACAGCCACATCCCGGACTCGGGTTCGGAGCAGAGGCAGTGCGGCCCAGGGGGGCTGGGGTCATCACAGTGAATGGGGGCGGGACTGGCAGGAGTAGACGGAGGCCAGGGAGGCTGCGCTCCCCGTGCTGCTTTTGACAAACCGTCCCACCAAACATTCTTGTAGGTGAAAAGCCTATTTAGACTTATCTGAGGTTAGAATCTAACGCTGCCATGTAACACAAACCATTTTTGTACTTTTTAACATATAATGAATTTTCGCAGAATTCAAACACCACACAAATCAAGAGAAGAGTTATTCACTATTTTGCACAATCACCTCAGCAGCAATAACTGCCTGTGGTGTGTTTGATACAAACACACATCAATCTACACTTAAGAAAGTCACACTCACGGTGATTCTACATCTAGCACAGGGAAAGGGAGAGAGAGGCTCTCTAAGCAGAGGGAACAGCATGTGCAAAGGCCCTGGGGTGCGAGGGAACAAGCTATGTCACAGAAGTGAAAGCAGACCACTGTGGTGGGATGGAGTGAGCATGGGGGAAGGAGGTGGGTGGTGAGGCTGGGGAGGCCACAGGAGCTGGGCAACACAGGGCCTCGTGGGCTAAGAGTTCAGCACTGTGAGAAGCCAAGAAAGGTTTTTCATCAGAGAAGGACCTGTTCTGATTTGCATTTTGAAAAAAATCACTCTGCAGGGTAGTGCACGGAATGGAAGGGGCAATAGTGGAGGCAGGGAGGTTCCTGCGAGAGGTTCCTGCAGTCATCAGGTGAGCAGGGATAGCGGTCTGGGCCGGTGGGGAGACAGCGGAGCTGGCAGGAAGTGGATGAAGGGAAACAACATCGAGCAGGCAGAATCACACAACCTGGGGATGCCCTGGATTCGGGAGTGAGGCAGTGTCAAGGGTTCCCTCCCAGGTAATTCCCAGGATCCTGGTTTGTGGAGGGACCATGGGGCCACCTCCCGAGACCTGAACAAAGGAGAATGAGCTAAGGAGAAAGATCATATTTTCGGTGTAACCATCACCGAAGGCTTCCCCAACCTCTGGCAAACTTACCTGACTCTGCCACCTCAGCAATGGGCACCCCCTGCTCGTACGCCATGAAGCCCAGGACCGAGAAGATGGCAAAGCCGGCCACGAAGCTGGTGCCACTGTTCAGACAACAGAGCATGACGCAGTCCCTGTGGGGAAGCAGCGAGAGGGGCTCGGCTCAGCGCGGGTGGAACAGGCGCTCTGCTCCCACCTGCTGTCTGAGCACCATGGCCGTCTTGTGGGGCCGGCAGGGCAGAGCAGGCACGGACTGCCCCATTTGCCTGATGAAGCCCTTGTGGTTCAGAGAGGTTAGGTGGCTGGTCCAGGGTCACACAGCTTCTCCTGTAGCTCTGGAAGATAAGGTAGGTCACACACCAGAAGCACAGAGAGGGAGTGGCAAGGAAGAGAGGCAGGCAGATGGGAAAATGCACAACTAGTGAGAAAACACTCGGAGACAAACCAACACTCCTGCAAATCCCTAGTAAGGGAGAAAACCAAGGAAAGAAAGAGAGCTCTGATTTCCTGGGAGCTCAAAGCAAGGAGGGCAGGAGACGCCTCTGAGACACGGCTGCCCCTCAGCCAGGGGAGCGCCGCGGACTTCACACCGGAAGCCCCCAGCAGCCTCGGGAGGAGATACCCCTCCCGGCCAAGCTCTGCGGCTGCCAAGGGGCAGCCCCTTCCAGGCCAGACCCCTCACGGAGGGGTTTACCGGAGCAGTGACTGTCCCCTGCTCTTGGGATGGCTCATCAGCAAAGAAGTACCAGCATAAAGCTGCGATCCAGGAGAAATCCGACTACACACGGCGGGGCTTTGCCAAGATGAAGGAGATGGGACCCTCGAGTCCTGGGCTCTCCTCCCTCGGGACCGCGTCCTCACAAGGCCACGCCAGGGAATCGGCCTCAGATCTCCACTGTACTTGCCAGGTAGGCCTACAACACACGCGATGCTCCACTTTAAAGGCAGGAGCCCCTGGCAGGACTGGCCCGAGGCCTGGCTAGCTTAGAGCATCCTGTGGTGGTGGTGAGCTGCCCTGCTCACACCCCAGCGAGCAGGAGCTCGGCCCGTCGCTCCCCGGGCCTGCCCCTGGTCGGACGGCCCCTGCTGCCCACGGCGGGAAGAATCTCCTCATGCCGTGCTCCACCCAAATCCGCCTGCTCTGATACGGTTTCGGTTTCGTTCCACCCTCCCAGACAGCCTGGAGCTCCTTTAGGCTTGGGAGATCTGAAGACAGTGGCCCTACAGCTCCTGAGTTTCTGCTCTCTCAGTTAAACGTCCCAGTTCCCTTACCAGTTCCTCCCCCGCTCCTGATCTGTAACACACTCCAGCTTGCTCGCCCCTCTTCAAATGTCACACCCAGGACTGAACTCTAGCCTCAAGAACGGAGTAGGACTCTCGCCTCCTCTTTTCCTGACACCGTACTTTTTGTAATGCAACCAAAGCGTGCGCTGACACTGCTGATTGTAACCACCTGCTGTCCGGCAACGACCCTGGGGATCAAGGGCGTAGTGGAGAGAGCGTTAGACCAGGGTCAGGAGCGTCGACTTCCAATCCTTTTTGGACCTTTTCTTCTCTCCGGTAATATGTTTTCCTGGGGCTGATCGTACCAGTTATAGGATAAGGTGCTCGATAACAGGGTCTCTTGGGCCTTGTCAGAGATGAAATCAGTTTCCAGTGAGTAGTCACTCCTCCACCTTCTTTCTCGGGGTGGAGCATATCTCCCGGCCCCACTGACTTTGGACTCAGCCACGTGACTTGTTTTGGCCAACGGGATATTAGCAGAGGTGACGCAAGCAGGGGCCTGAGATGCGCTTGTGCGACTGGACTTGTCCTTTATCCCCTCGTGACGTGCCACGAGAGGAACTTCCCCAGGGGAGCTGCTGTCCCCGCAGCCTGCACCCCAGGCCAGAACTACACACACGGAGCAGACCTGCGCCTGCCTGCACCCTGCAGCCAAACCCACACAGCCCAGGGCCTTGAGAGCGTCCCAGGCTGACCAGCAGACTTGCGAGCGACAAAAACAAACACTGGTGGCGGTCAGCCCCTGAGTCCTGGGGTTGCTGGTTACACAGCATTACTGTGGAAGCCAGTGACTGATACGGGTTCCTTCACAGAACCCTTCTGGCACTAGACACAAGCGGGGCTGGCGGACCTGAGGACTTCATCTGCAAGCCTGATTTACCTTCTCGCAAAAGGAAACTGAGCTCAGCCCAGGCAAGGGCAGGGCTCTTCCTAAGGCTGGGATAAATCTGCTCTTTGTGCCCATTTCCTTTCTGGAATTCTCCTGTAACACCTGGACCTGTGGTGTGCCCAGCCCTGCGCCAGGGTTTCTTGAACACTGTGTCACTGAGTCCTGGGCCTCAGGGAGGAGAGTCACACACTCAAGGTCTCAGCCATCTGCTGGTGAAGTTGGGGTGTGCATCCCTTTATCTCAGACACCAAAGCCCACGCTGTTTCTAGGAGTTATACAAAAACGCTGCTCCCTAAGAATTAAGACTTCCAAATCCTGACTTGTGGACAATTATCTCTGGGCATCCACGTAGTTGGTGAAAAACAAATGTCCCTTTGCAAAGTCCCCATCTTCGCCCCAGAGGCCTCCCATGTGATTTCTTCACACCACAGAGAGACAGAGGCTCTGAGTGGACCCGAGGTGCTTCCAGCCCTGTGCCCTGCACCCCCGCGCTCCGAGCACCCACACTTCAAGCAGACAGAGCTCAGCCGCCTGTGTTCTGAAGTGAGGATTTTCCCCGCCTGGCTTGCTCCATCCCCATCCCTCTAATTCCCTCCCTGCACGGCACCTTCCAGGGAAAAGGCTTATGTAACGAGTGCTTTGAAGTTGGCAGGAGCTGAGCTGGGCTCCGAAGACCTCCAGAAGCTATTACGCTGTCAGAAGAGAGGGTATTAATTTACTCCCTCTGAGTTAGGAAGACCTGCTCGTGGAGCAACTTGGAAACGGAAATAAAATGAGCCTTCGGATCTTGCAATGTCACCCAGGGGGTTTGCTCTCTTCTGCTGACAGGAGGGCAAAAACCCTGCTTGTCGGATGGGAAAGCAGACGGGATCCACGGTGACCAGCACACTTCACCCACGTGCTCGCTGGGAACAAGGTTGCTGCTAACCCGAGCCACAGCCTGACGACAAGGCAGTCTGGCCAAATCCTCTTCGGCGGCAGGCGTCGGGAAAGAACTGGCCGCCCCCAGTCATGAGGAACAGGAGAGCAGGAACCGGAGGGGCTCAGGGTCAGAGCCCCGTTCCATCACTGGTGACGTGAACACGAGCAAGTCACGTACCCTCGGGCCTCAGTTTCCTCGTCTGTATAACCGTGTGGCTCCTTCCCCCTTCCTTACGTGTCAGCCAGCACTATACTAGGCTGGAAGGATGGTGGCAAACAAGAAGACCCAGCCCGTGTCCTCACGGAGCTGACAGCCTTGCTGGAGGTGATGGAGAGTGACCACGGATTTCCGCAGTGCCGGCAGAGAGGGCCCCGCGCTGAGCGCTGGCTGCTGATGTGCTGACAGCTGTATGCAGACGGCACCCTCTCCAGCGTCCCAAGGGTGTCACACTCGCCCCGGGCCAGAGGTCTGCCGTGATGCTCTCCTGTCCCAGTGCCTTGGCCTGTCTGCCCACAGGTACTATTTTGTGTTGTGGCTGACAGCGCTCATCCCCCAGACCCACCACCTGCCCTGAAGGTGGAAAGGATCTTGTGGACAACCTGGTCTGACCTCCACCTCTCTAGCATCCCTCTGTCCAGCCACAGCCAGTTACCTCTCTGCCCAAAGGCCCCCACGAACAGCAGAACTTGCTGCCTAAAGGCGCACTGGCTTCCACAATGGCTCTTCCTTCAGCATGTTGGATCTGCCCACTTGCACTGCCTCGGTTTCCCCAAATCACAATCTCTATAGCCTGGAGCTGTGCCATCACTGTGTGTATCTCCCAAGGTGTCGATTCCGGCGTCTCACACTTAGTATACACACAATGCACATGGCTGACCCGACAAATGGGTTAGTAAAGTGACCACAAAGCTGGCTTGCAAAGGGGACGCAGCAGAGGGCTGGGGTGGAGACGTAGAGACCTTGGCCAGAGTCCAGCTGAGGGACGAGCTCAATTTCCCTATCTGGAAGACAGAGGTAAGGTGGGAGGGACTTTATCCTTGACAAACTTCTTTGAAATGATGCTGCCGCTAGAGCCACACAACAAGTCACATGGTTGTCAGGCCAAGTGCCTGCCGCCAGCGGAGTGGGACACGCCCTCTCCCTGCACCACCGACACCGAACAGCGTTCATGTCTAGACCTCTGCCGCTTCGCTAGTTGAGGAAAACGAGCTCATCATTTTAAGAGCGTGCTGTTGATTTCTCTATTGGTGTTTAGGTTACTCATGTTGATCTGCTCCTCTTCTTTACATACTAGTGACACAAACCCTTCGAGTATCATATTATATGTTGTTAGCATGCTCTTTAGCTCTGCAAATGGTTTTCACAGTGTTTATTTGGAGATATCATACAGAAGGGTATGTAGATAACATTTGTATCAACTTGATTTTTTTTAAATTATGAGAGCAATATGTACTCAAAGTGGGAAAAAAACCATTTAAATTGTATAAAACAAAACAAAGCATTTAAACTCTATAGGAAGGTACAGGTGGGAAAAGCCCACCTCCCCATCTCTGACTTCCCAGTCCCACTCTCCAGAGCGGGCTATTTTTAATAGTTTCCTCCCAGAAATTTTATGAGTTCTAGATTTTTATGTGGACCAATCTGTCACTTTTTTCCTTTGTGATTTCTTTAATTATTTTGATATTTTCTATATCCTTTCCCAATCTGAAAACAATATTTTATTCCTAGTTTTAGGATGGTTTCCTTTTAAAAAATATTTAACTCTTTGATCAATCTGACACGGTGGTACACAGGGGACGAGATCTGAGCATCTACCTTGATTATTTCTCTCCAAATATTTATCCTTTCTCAGAATCATTTGCTGAACAACCCTTCCTTTTTCGACTAATCTGTGATCAGGGATGGCTTCACGGCCATGAGTCCACGAGTTTACACCTACATAAGGAGCTCTTGGACTGCAAGGAACAGATGTGTCCAGCCGTCCCTGCACCATCACCTGCTGTGACCAGGCACTGCGTTCAGGGCTGCAGAGGCCTCAGCAAACAGCCCATCGGCCTAGAGTCAGAGACCAGGGTGCAAATTTCACTTCCACTATGTGCTTCCAGGTGACCTTGGACAAGTCCCTGGCCCTCTGTGGGTCTCAGAACTCAGGCTGCAGGCACGAGAGGCCAGGCAGCCAAGTCAGGCAGCCTCAGGCTGCCCTCCCCACGGGAGCCCCCTCCCAGCCCTGGGGACAGCCAGAGGCATGAGGCTGGGGAGGGAGGCCTGTCAGGTCGAGAGGCAAGACAGGGCACCAGCCACTCCAGGTGGGGCAGGAGAGGACCCTACAGTCAAGTGAATAGGGGTAGGAAGCTGGTTTCTCAACAGAAGGCAGAAAAACAAGACCTTTGGTGTTAAAGCCTGGGTTCAAGTCCCAGCTTTGTCACTTACTAGCTGTGTGACCTCGGGCAAGTCACTTAACCACCCTGGGATAAATCTATGCTGCACAGGGTGGGACAGAGGTCTAAATAAGATTTCAGGAGTGGATTCGCTTTGCAGCCTGGAATGCACTCTGATCACATTTGCTACTTTCCTATCTCCTCTGGTGGCCCAGGGTAGGGAGAGGCTGAGAAAGAGCCCATCTGTCTCCGCCTGGCCCTGCAAGGTGAGAGGACAAACATGAACCAGCCGGGCAGCGTGGAGGGTCATGGGGTTCGGTGGAGAGCTGGCAGGGCCCCGGGAAATGCTCACCTGTAGCAGTTGTTGTTGTAATTGTTATAACTTCCCAGAGCAGTCAGACAACCCAGGCAGATGGCATAGGAGAAAAAGATCTGTGTTCCAGCATCTACCCAGACCTGCAGGAAGGCACAAAGAAGTTGGCACAGAGACAAGAAGTCAGATGTGTGGAGGCCCTGTTCTCTGGAACCCCCACCCACACCCTACCCTCCAAAAAGACTCCACAAAGGGATAACCAAACTGCCTAACCTTCTCAGGAACGTGTTTTTAGGAGTTCTATTCTGGGGGAATGCTTGATTAAATACAAACGTCCTTAATTAATTCCAGAGTTTTCCAGAGGTTATGGATAATAGCTCACTCAATAGCAAGAACTTGGTGTTTAGGACACTGCTCCAGCTGTGTGACCTTGGAAAAGTGACTTAACCTCTCTGAGGCTGAGTCTCCTCATCTGCAAAGGGGGGAATGACCCTCCCTCTCAGGATTGAGGATTCACGCGGTAAGGAGGGTAAGCCCTGGGACCCGGCGCGTCATGAGGTAAGTTACGTTTAAGCCACACATGTGATTTTCCTTCTTTGTGATGAGACCACCATGAGAAAACTGCCCCAGGATTCCACAGGGGAAACCGTCTGCACAGCTGGCTGAGCACAAGAGGAGGCAGGGATGGAGGGGAAGGCAGAGCCCACCCGTCCAGCCCCTTCCCCACGGGTCTGGGGTACAGACGGAAACGACCTCCTCAGCCTCTAGGTGCCTCTCTGACCACCGCTGTAGACGGCACGGCGTGCACCACAGGAGTTACGGACGCTTCTCATCACCTCCCCAGGCTCTCTGTACCCAGCTCCTGGGTGTCGCCAAGGAAAACCCACGGCTAAAACCCAACTGCAGCTGAGGAGACGCACGCTGGAGAGCCAGATGCCACCTCGAGACCAGGGTGTTGCACTCAATACAAACACTGGCAAACATGCACTGAGCACTCACTGTGCTCCAGGCACCTGTGCCGCACCCCGGAGGCATTACTGCACTGCGACAGTCACAGCAGCCCTATGCAGCAGGTGCTGTTATTAGCCCCCTTACAGCTGAGGAAACCGAGGAACAGAGAGTTGAGTAATTTGCTCAAGACCACACAGCTGGGAAGTGGCGGACGCAAGTCCACGCAGACCCACCTCTGGAGATGCACGCTGACCCCTCCCAGAACCTGAGAAGTGCTCTGGCGCAGCCTCCACCCAACACGAGACCCTCCTCTGAGTCTCCTGACAGAACAGTCCCCGGATTACCACCAGGGATGGAGAGCTCTCTCTCTCCTGACCCGGCCCCTCTCTTCTTGAGAGAGTTCTGACCATTAGGACATTTCCTAAAATGAAAGGAAGTCTCCCTGTCCATCTTCCTAGCTCTGGGCCCCCCACATCTCTCTGCCCTCTGGTAGCACTTTAGAGATTAGAGGAAAGCACCAGTGCCCCTGGGCCCTAGAACTCTCCCTTTTCCAGACAAAAGATCTCTATGTCCTCTCTCTTGGGGATTTGATTACACGGTCCAGGTCACTCTACCCTGGATTTGCTCGAGTTTATTAAATCATTCAATAAATACTTATTAAAATTGAAGATCCTAATGCTGCCTCTCAACCTAAGAAATGAATCCATTTTTTCCCCTCTACCTTAGGGTCCCTGGGTTTAGTGTCCTGGAGCTAAATGAAGAACTTAGGGAGAATTTTTTAAAGAAAATTTAGAGAAGGGAGGATTTTTGTGTGTGTGTGTGAGGAAGATTGGCCCTGGGCTAACATCCGTGCTCATCTTCCTCTACTTTATATGGGACGCCACCACAGCATGGCTTGGCAAGCACTGCGTCGGTGCCTGGGATTCGAACCCCAGGCCGCCGCAGCGGAGCAAGCGCACTTAACCGCTTGCGCCACCGGGCCGGCCCCAGAAAAGGGAGGATTTTTAAAAAACTGGTAGAAACTTGAGGATGCTTAAATGTTGATAGGAAGGGTCTGGTGCAGAAAAAAGTGTTGAAGATTCAGGAGAGAAATGGATGTATTTTAAATTCTTCCTTCTCTGCCTCAGTTTCCCCACTTGCTACCTCAGTGGATTTCCCGTTCTGCTCGTAAGGCCAGTAAACCACGTGGAGAAGCACAAACAGTACAGCTGCTGACCCAGGAAACAAAACCGGCTCACAGGAGCAACCCCCCGGGATGCTCAGGGCTCAACCGAGCACTGCTCCCCGAGTTTCCTGCACTTGGTTTTAACGCCTCTGCAAACGGAGTGTCCCGCTTCCAGAACCTTCTTGTCCCCTGGCTGAGTGCACAGGCCAGAGTGAGAGAAGCCCCCAGACTTGCGGGAAAACCGGCTCCTCCATCGCAGCTGGGCCCCACGGTGAATGCCCCCAAAACATGGGAAATAAACTCTGTGAGTTTGAAAATATCAGAGAGAGCTTTCCATCCACATGTCCCAAAGATGGACCCCCAAATCATGATTTTCACTTGCAGGGAGTTTTTCTTACAGTTTACACACTGAGCACGTCAACACTAAAACGACGTCTGCTGTTTCTGCCCACCTGGCATCCATTGCTCCTTTTCAGGCAACAGCACCTCCATTTTACTTTGGGAAACCATCTCCTCCCCACTCAGATAACTTTGCCAGTTGTCACATGACCCAGGCCTGGCCAATCAAAGCATCTCTCTCGGCCACAGTGATTGGTTCAGGGATGAGCACATGATGCAAGCCAAGCCAATCAAATTCAGTCCTGGGACTCTCAGTGGAGCCACTGGAAACGGGAGACATTCTTTCCTCCTGCAGACATTCAGCTTGTACCTGCTGGGGTCATCGCTGACCACGAGGAAAGAGCCTGCCTGAGAACACGGCCAACACCGCGGAAAGCAGAGTCTAGAGCAAAAAAGACTGATACTCGTGACCTGACTCGAGTCCCTGGATCCAGCCATACTGAAAATCAGACCTACCCTAGAACACTTCAATTTCAGAGGCCTATCAATTCCTCTTTTTCTTAAGTCAAGTTGAAAGGCATTGCCGTCACTTCAAATGGAAAGAATTCTAACAGCAACACTAAGCTCTTAAAAAAAAACCCAGAGGCTGTAAGCCCAAATCCTTCAATTAATCCTGAACTACCAAAGAACAAGCATTTATTGAGTGCCTTCTGTATGCAAAACCCTGTGCCAGACTCTGAAAGAGGTACTGTCCATTATATATGGCACTCCATCTCTGTGCGCAGGTGAGACAAGATTCAGAGAAGAAGGCACCCAGTACCAGGAGTGGTGGATGAGGGAGAAGATTAACACGTGCTAGGACAATCAGAGAAGGCTGTCTGGAGGAGGCACACCTTTAAAGACCAGAGAAGCGATGAGAGAGGACACGTTGGGCCTGGAGGTTCATGTGAGAGAGGGATGTGTTCTCAAATGATTTTCCCTCTTGTTCCCTTACCTCTGTGGGAAAAAGCCTGTCATGTTCCTTCTGATGGTTACCATTAAATCGACACCTTTATACCATGCCCTTGGCATGCCCCATTTTTGACAATGTCTGTTGGTTCCCTGCTATGAGGAATATTGAAATAAGCCAACAGTCTCTATTTCTCTCCCTTCCCTTTCCTCTAGCACCTGATTTGAAGAAACATCCATTAGTTCCCAGTTAATATGTAAGGGCAGTGTGTGAATTTATTCTCCTTTTCACACGCACGCTCCATTCTCTCTCCAGTTTCTAATGCCTGCACTGTATCTGCATTATCAGAACCTACAACTGTTCCATATCCTATTATTTCCCTTACAGTCATTATCCAGTGTGAGTCCACAGGTGACTAGAAATTTAATGCTCCCTCTCAGCCCTTATGTTAATATCTCTCCAGTCAATTTGGTTGCCTGTAGCTGGCTGTCTAGTCAATTCCTCTGGAAAGGCTTATGGGAAATATCTCCCAGGTTCCTGCATGTTCATAATGGTTGATCTGCGGCTTTCGTACTTGCAAGTCGGTTTGGCTGCATAAAATCCTTGGCTCTCTTTTTCTTTTCCTGACTATCTTGAGTATGTTGCGTGGTTGTCTCCTGGCACAAAGAGCTGCTGTAGAAAAGTCTGACACCACTCTCATCTGTTTCCCCTTATAAAGCACTTGCTTTTTTTGTCTGAATGACCAACAGGTTTTTTCCTTTCTCTGTGAAGTCCAATAATGTTTATTAGAATATGTCTTAATGTTGATTCTTCCGGGTTGTGGTGTACTTCTTCAAGATGGAAGTTCAAGTCTTGTCTTTTATTTTAGGGGAAAAAATCCCTGAACTATTGTTTTTAGTATTTGTTCTCTTCCATTGCATTGGGTTTCTTCTCGGGGTACTTGTATGCTGGGTCTTCTTTGTCTATCTTTTATACCTCTCACTTTTTCTTGCATCCTTTAAAAAATCTCTTTCTTCATTTCTGACTTTGTTTTTTATTTTCCTCCTTTACAACCTCTATTTACCTTCTGATATTATCCATGGTGCCTACTCACCCCTTTACCCTTCTATTGAGTTATTTATTCTGAAATATTTTTTTCTTTTGTAAACTGCCCTTCCTGTCAGCTCTTTTCAAATCTTCTAACAATTTCACATATGCTACTGTTTCATAGCATCTCTTGGTTTCTCAATTTCTTTTAGCTTGTTTTGAAATAACTAAGTTTCAGTGCTTAGATGTTTTGTGGGTCTTTGTGGAATGTATGATCTATAGGAACACTATTCTCTTCATAATTATTTTTCTTATAATAGCTTTGCATGAGATATGACCACAGTCCTTTTCTGCTGCTCGTGTGTAGGTGAGATGCATGTTCTCGTACTCTTAGAAGGGGGTTTTCTTGTGTCGAGGAATGGGGGTGCTCTGGGGTCGATTTCCTGACCTCACAGTTCCAGGGCTGCCTCTTCTGTTATTACCAAAAAGTCTTTAAACTATGGCCACACAGTTAGTTCTTTCTGAAACTACTGTTCTCCGTTCCCTTCCTCCACTCTTATCTGGAACTTCTCTTTTGGTTTCCTCTAGTGTCTCCATCCTGCTCAATTCGGATTCTGCTTCCAGTGGCTTCTCCTCAGTGTGGGGCTCTCTCTGACCACGGAGCCTCAGCTGGTCAGTCCCTGGAGTTCCCAGGGCCCAGACCCCCACCTGAA